AGAAAAAAGCGGTGGGAATACAATGAGGGTGAAGAGAGGACAAGCAGAAGGAATAAAAAGAGAGGGGAAAATGGGGTTAGGACTTAGAAGAAAATGAGCTCAGAGGGGACACAAAGCCCTAAGAGCTGAACCTTGGAGGCCACCAGAAATCTTATCACACTGTTTGCATGTTTGTTTTGAAGGTGAAACCATGTTCTTCTGCTCCTGACCACACGGAATACAATGAGGGTGAAGAGAGGACAAGCAGAAGGAATAAAAAGAGAGGGGAAAATGGGGTTAGGACTTAGAAGAAAATGAGCTCAGAGGGGACACAAAGCCCTAAGAGCTGAACCTTGGAGGCCACCAGAAATCTTATCACACTGTTTGCATGTTTGTTTTGAAGGTGAAACCATGTTCTTCTGCTCCTGACCACACAAGGACACCCTGAAACCCATCCCAGCTTCTCCCAATGCTTGCCAAGCATCAAGGCTCTCCTTATGAGTTTTGCCTTCCATGAGTTTCTCCTCTGAAGGCTTTCAAGGGAGGCCAAAACCACACAGGGGTTTTTCTTGGAAGCTGTTGGGTGAACTCATTAAGGGGAAAAACAGCCCTGAGTTAATTATAGGTTGGTTATAGCAATGTAAACTTTTGTTCCTGGGAATACTCCTGCTCTGGGATTCACAATCCTTCAGTTGCTTACAGAACTCAGGTTGGTAAAGTCAGGAATACACAGCCAGGATCTTCCAAAGTAAATCCTATCTGGAAACACCTCATGGTTGCACCAGGAACATTGGGAATACCAAGACATCAACAGACAGGCACCTTTGGAGCTTTTCAAGGCTGAAGCTTCAACTGCTTCCATCCAGGACAGGATTTGCCCACATTTCAGATCCAGCATCAGCCAAGAATCATGGAATGGTTTGGGTTGGAAAGGATCTTAAAGATCATCTTATTCCAACTCACTGCCATGAGTAGAGACAACTTCCACTAGCCCAGGCTGCTCCAAGCCCCATCCAACCTGTTCTGGAACACTTCCAGGCATGGGGCACAAAGAACAGCAGTGAAGACCAAACACCCTAAGCATGAGGAATCTCTTTCTGGGAAGGGACAGTCCTGGTGTTCTCCATTAGCACCACTTCATGCTCTTGGGCCAACACCAAAATGTGACTGATTCAACCTCAAATTTACCCCTTAATTCAACTCCAGATGCTCAGAAGATCCCTCTTAGGCCCTCACACACCACCACAAGCTGTAGGACACCACCACCCTCAGAGCTCCCTTGGGAGCAAACCACAAGTGCTCCCAAATCTTTCAGGGCAGAGACCACCACGTACCAACCCAGATGCAGCTCCTTCCTCATCTTGGATCCCATTCCTCAGGCTCAAGCCAGGATTTTTCCTTTCTACAACCTCTTGCTTCAGAGAACTTCTTGGTCAAAAAAGAGACAGAGAAGGAACACACATTTCTTGGAATTATGGAATGGTTTGGATTGGAAAGACCTTAATAGTCATCTCATTCCAAACCCTTCCATGGGTAGGGACATCTCCCACCAGTCCAGGTTGCTCCAAGCCCCATCCAAACTGGCCTGGAACACTCCCAGGGATGGAGTAGCCACAGCTGCTCTGGGCAACCTGTGAGAGTGCCTCAGCACCCTCATAGGGAGGAATTTCTTCCCAATATTCCATCTATCCATGTCCTCTGGCAGTGAGAAGCCATTCCTTGTGTCCTGTCACTCCATCCCTTG